CTGACAGTGTTGTGGAAGCTACGTGCTCCTTGGGCCAGCCCACGTGGGCCACCCACACGCTCGTCACGCCACGGGTACTTCGAACGGCTCGGTTGTAACGCGCTGACGCTATTGACACCACCACAACGCTGCCAGCGCCACCAAGGGCAAAGCTGATAACCACTCCTGCCTTGCTACTCCACGAACGCGGGGAATCTTTTCTTTCTGCTTTTGTTTGCGCCGGATATCCCATGACGCATCGCGCTCTCCGTACGCTTCTCTTCGAGCGCTTGCTCGAGTGCACCGTTTGGAACGCAAAATATGGCCAGTCGTTCAAAATACAAACGTGCGATTATCATTTACGGTTATTATCCCTCATACTTGATTCACTTCCGAACGAAACTTGAATATTTAAATTGTTGTTTCCGTACCCCTTTAAAGAACACAACCGTGATGATGATTTAATGAATTTAATGATGAAACAATTTTGACTAAAGAGAGTGATCACAAGGGTATACTGAAAGAATCACTAACAATGATGAAACCTAGGAATCTATTAGTGCCTTCCCTGTGTTTTGCCATTGAGTGGGAGAAGTTTCTTGGCCTATATTTTTGTTAGAAACAGGTGTGATGCGTCCGTCTGTTTTTTTTTTAATCTTGATGTTGTGCATATTTTTTATTTCCTAGGTTGAAAGCTCAAGGCATTCCCTGTTGTTTGTTCAACCATATTTACCCAAATGTTAGTAGGTTGCTTTTTATGTTTACTGTCCTTGGGTATGTCAGGGGTTGTGAACAGTAAAACGCTGTAAGGCCCAGGAAGGAATTCCCTTTGTAAAGTGGTGGCAAGCAGAAGAGGAATTGTAAAGACTGACTTCATGTCTTCTCCTGCGTTTTCTTTTTTGGGTCGCCTATTCATTTTTTCCCATTAATACTCAGCTGTGTTTGATACTTCTCTGCGTTTGTGTCGTCCTTCAGAGAACCCGTCTTTAATAAATTATGTGTTTAGCCTGTTTAGCTAGCTTGCACCCCCCTTTTTGTTTTTGACCATTAATAAATGACCGTAGGATTCAACTGCAAGCACGGTGTTAATGCATACTAATAAAGAGCAGCATACTTTTATTGACTAGTGGTGATGACTGGACTAGTTAGTAGCCAATTATTGAAAAGAAATCATGAAGAATATGGGAACAGAGGATATGAACACAACACAGCGCTGTGTTGATCTCCTCCTTCTTGTCCGTGCCATTCACATTCCATGTTTTTAATAACACATTTATTAATTATTTTCTGCTTGGTATTATCTGTATAGGGGTTCACTGGAACGACCCATCTGCTATTGCATTCACTTTAGGGAAGCACCCCCTTCCTCATGGTGCTATCGTTCAGGAAGTGCAAGGCGGGTGTCACTCTCACTCTTGTGGTTCAGTTCCCCAGGTTCCCATAGGTTTCAAGCTGCTAGCCAAACTCAGTCAGGCCTTCCAGCCCTGCAGGAAATGTCAATTCCACTCTTTTAGACGTAGGCACCCACATTTTGCGTGTACGTGAAAGAAGCTCTAACAGAGAGGAAACAAAATGATTGGCCTTTTTTTAATGCATCCTTTTTTTTTGCTGAGAACATACATAAACGTTACACGCTATTGTACATTCAGTGGTGCGGCTTAATTTAGTAAGAGCACTTTTTTTCATATAACTTTTATATAAAGAAAAAACTCAATATAATGGGTCGGGCATAAATGGTTGCTATGAACTGCCCTATACATTTACACATTACCTGATATCATTAAAAGAGTAGAGTAGCGTAGGGCTGCACTGCCCCAATTACGTCTTTGTAACCAATTAATAGTTCGCATTTATTTGTTTATTACTATTGGCTATTATTCTTTGACAGAAAGAATAACCGGGCGAGTTGGTACGGTGGTAGTATTTGAACTCCATCAAATATTCAGGTTTGACATTAGTTAAAGGGGCCCTCCGGATCGTTCTGCGATGATCTATTTATGGCGGTAACTCAATCTACATGCCCTAAGGATCCTAAAAATCATAAAATTACGGTCATGCGCGGCAGATTTCCCTACTAAAATTGCTATCAAAGTCCCCGGCACGCCCCCTTTCTGAGATGAGCCCGGAAAAAGGGAGGGGCATCTCTTTACGCGTCAGCCAATAGCAAGCGAAGGATTCCGGCGTCACTGCGCGTCACCAACGCGGCCGACCGCCGACCCGCGGAGGAATCTCTCGAACACGCGCGGACCGTCGTCAAGGAACCCGGACTTTGTGCTCGGCAGTCGTCGTTCGTCGCACCGCACCGTCGCGCTGCTACTGCAATACGCAGTCGCATTCCACAGATGACAAGGAAAAGTTTGACTCGTTGACGTGGAAGGATCGCAAAGCTGGCTTCGGAGTCGGGATCCACGGGAAGGAGGAACATGTGTCCCGGAAACGCACGCCTGCAGACGCCCCGGGAAGCAGACGAGCCGACGCGCCGACGCATCGCCCACTAGCAACAAGCTTGCGGGGAGAAAACATAGTTCGCTGGTATTGGAGCGATAATTGCGGACTATGTTTCCCGCACCACAATCAGTTTACGTTTTTCTCAAACTCTAATTTACAACAAGCTTAAAAAGTGTTGCAATAATAACGTTCGCATTCACCGCGAGATGCAGCATTTCCATTGGTCAAGTTTTAGCGATGGGCAGGGAATGGGGGATCGTCTTCCAAAAGAAAATAGTCCCGATATATTTCTTCTGCCATCTCCTTAATAAACGGTTTTGTAATCTAAAACTTTGTATACATATTAACTTGCACCTACTATGCAATATAACAACAGACGATCGCAGAAAGCTCCGGAGGGCCCCTTTAATTTTTTCCGCCTTTTTTAATGTTTTTGTTTTTTCTAGCTGCTCTGATTTTTGTAAGGGCTTTCGCCACTACTAAAAAACATGACATCTAAACTCCTTTTATTTTTTGCATCACACAATCGTAAACTTAAAAAGTGTGCCGGTTCGGTAAACGCGAAGAGACCTAATTTCCGAGGGTGAAACCTCTAAAAACAACAGACAAGTAAAAGAAACAAACACAGGGCATTGTTTGTCCGTTGTTTTTAGCGCTTTTACCCTCGGAAATATGACGAAGAGACCGCGCGTCTCTACGCACAAGCATTAGCTTATGCAAAAACTCATGCTGCATGCTCGCTCTTCTAACGTTTTTCTCGCTCCCGCTTTATGAAACAAATCGGTGGCGAGCGGCTGTTAGGACAAGATGTCAGAACTAGCATGACCTGTGATTAACACTTTGGGACGGCGACTGAATGCTTGAACTGCCGTCAGACGGCACTTGAACACTCCGCACAAGCGTCGTCGGACGAGCGCCGCACAACGGCGCAAAGAACATGCCCAAGGTTCCGCCGCGCGGGAATCTTTCTCACACTGCGGAGCGAGCCACAGGTTTTGAAGAAGATACGCTCTTTTCAAATAGCGAAATAACACAGGGCAGAAGCATAGTTAGAATCAAGCATAGCTTAGCAAGCATACGGTACACGACAAAGTTTGAAACAGCAGCCCACTTCGCAGAAACAAAAGAAAGTTGCTAACCGTCGTTTGCACGAGTCGTGCATGGGCGGTTCTAATAATAATAATAATAATAATATTTATTCAACTCGGAAAGAGTTGCGACACCACAAAAGGCGAGGAGCCCATACCAGGAGGTCTGTGGTGCCGCAGTTACATGAGCGACAAAAAAAAAAAAAAAACAGCAAACAAAACAACACTCGGCTGCGTGCTGCTTAGGACCGCAAGTGCGGTATTGCCCCCCTGCAGATGGGTCTTATATCTTCTTTCTCGATCAGGCCCGCTGTCAGCTCTGATGGCAGGGACCGCCACAGATTTACTGCCCTGATGACGAAGGTATTCCGGTGCCGGTCAGTGCGGGCAAAGAGTGGTTGAAGGCCACCGTTCCGGTTCAGCCGCAGCTGCCGAGCAAGAGGAACCTCGGGAGCCTCTGGCAGGAGGCAGGTTGCCAAAAGCCGGACCGAGGAGATTTTCCTGCGCAGGGCCAGAGAGTTCCAACCCACACGTGCCAGCAGATCATCCGTAGCTATGTCCCGGTACCGGGGGACATGAGGGGTCTGCCACCGCAAGATAGTGTACGCGGCACGTCTTTGCACACTTTCAAGAGAAGCGGATAAGGTGGCCTGAGGGGGGTCCCAGACTGCGGCACAGTACTCAAGGTGCGGCAGCACCAGTGCGGTGTAGAGGTGCCTCAGTGTTCTTGACCCGGCCCCTCTTGAGACACAGGTAACAAAACCCAGCATCCTTCGAGCTCGGGAGATCACTTCGGCAATGTGAGTGCCGAAACTGAGTCGACAGTCCAGTTTGACACCTAACAACTTGGTGCTGGTCGTTCTGGAAATGTTCACTCCGTCGAGGTTGTAGCAGGGGAGTGCGGAACGCTGCTGCCTGGATGAGGATATCTGCATCACAGTGCACTTGGCAAAGTTCAGTGGAAGTCTGTTTTTTCTCGACCAGGCGACAACATTGTCCAGGTCCGCTTGGAGTAGTTGGTGATCGAGGGGGCGACGGATTGGCTGCATGAGGGTGAGGTCGTCGGCATAAAGAAGGGGCGTACAACCTAAGACCCGGGTGATGTCATCAATAAAGATGTTAAAGAGGGTAGGGCCTAGGACGCTACCCTGAGGAATCCCTGACACGACCTCTGCGGTGTTAGACCTCTGCCCGCCGAAGACTACGTGCTGGGTACGACCGAGCAGGAAGGACGTTACCCAGTCCAACAGGTTGCCGGATAATCCAATGTCGGAGAGTCTCTGCAATAGGATGGAGTGGTCAACTTTATCGAAGGCCTGCTTGAAGTCGAGTTGGACGAGCTCGCATGGTGTACGTCCATCTAAGGAACTACTGATGGTGTGAACCGCGGTGGCGAGAGCTAGCTCACAGCTCCGGCCGGGGCGGAAACCATGTTGGTGCGAGGAAAGCAGCTGGTGTCGCTCAATGTGTTCCAGTAAATGTCGGTTAACTATTCTCTCCATTGTTCTGCATACGATGGATGTAGTTGATATTGGCCGGTACGAGGACACGAGTGACTTGGACAGCCCGCTTCCCTTGTGTATCGGGGTGACTTGTGCAGTCTTCCATTGTCGGGGGACAGAGCCGGCACGAAGAGAGTTTGTGAAAAGTTTTGCCAGGATCGGGCTGAGTTTGTTGGAGCACATCCTCAGGAAAGCTGGGTGCACGCCATCAGGTCCAGCCTTCTGAGATGGGTTTATACGCTGCAGTGCTTCTGCAACGTCTTCTTCCCGCACATCGAACGATGCAAGTGGTGAACTACAACGAGGCGTGTTGGAGGGTAGAAGTGAGGGGTTGCCAGGGTCGGTCCAAGCCGATGAGAAGTGGTCACTGAAAAGTTCCGCTATAGCCCCGGGTTTTATTACCTGGCTTCCGTTAACTAAGAATTCAGGACGGGAGGATGATTTTCTTTGATTGTTTACATGGGCCCAAAAAAGCTTTGGGAAATGGATGGCTTTCTCTGCAATCGACTCCATATAGGCCCTGTGTGCAGAGTAGATTAGTTTTTTCAGACTTTTCTGTGCTTGCTGCGCTGTGCTGAGGTGGAGTGGATTTTTTGTCCTACGTGCTTTCTTGAATAACTGGCGTTTCTTACGGGAGAGCCGAATGATATCTTGAGTGATCCATGGTCGCTGCCGGCCAGTCGTCATCCTTGTGGGAACACATTCTGCTTCTATGGCCGAAAAGAGATCTAACCAGAGGTCGTAGGCATCGTGAATACAAGGTTCATCAGTCACCAGGGACCAGGGTGCAAGGTGCAGCAGGTTTTGAAGGTGCGTTCCGTCAGTCTTCAAGAAGTGCTGGATTCGCTTCGCGTGCGGACCAGATTTTGGCGGCTTGAGTAGGCTCTCGAGATAAATTGCGTGGTGGTCGGAGCCAGGGAGACTGGACTCAAGGGAACAGCTCGATACAAGTGCTGGATTGGTAATGAAGGCCAGGTCTAGGAAGGACGTTTTCCCAGAGTGTGAAATATAGGAGGGCTCCGAACAAACTTGAAGGAACCCGCCGGTCTCCATGATATCAAGTAGCATATCATCACTGGGGGCCGATGGGATGGGTGCAGATGGATCCGTCCAGTCGATATGCGCGTTGAAATCTCCCAGCACACAAATGTTCAGGTAATTGCCCATTCCAGCCCGCCTGAGGGAGTTGCCGAGGAGATCGTAGGATGTAGACTGTGAGGTTGGGGAGCAGTAAACACAGCAGATCAGCACTTTTCCTTGGTGGTGATTCACCTCGACGAATACAGCCTCAAGGTGCTCATGCTCCAGGTCCTGGCGTTTCCGGCAGGTCATGTGGCAGGGTACACTCTAAAAAAAAAGCGTGCCAACTAGCACCTTTTAGGGTTCTTTCGCTTGTCCAATGGGCGGCACCCTTAAAGGTGCAGAAAAGAACCCACAAAAAGGGTTCTTTCTAATGAACCCTATTTCGGGGTTCTTTTCGGATCGTTTATTGGTTCTTCTTAATGAACCCTATTTTTGGTTCTTTTCAGAACGCTTCTGGGTTCTATTTAACGAACCCTATTTAGGGGTTCTTCTAGGATCCTTTTTTGGTTCTTCCTAATCAACCCTATTTCGGGTTCTTTCCCGAACCCTTTTTGGTGCTCTTGATGAACCCCATTTCGGGTTCTTTCTAGAACCCTTTCTGGTGCTCTTAATGAACCCTATTTCAGGTTCTTTCTAGAACCGTTTCTGGTGCTCTAAATAAACCCTATTTCAGGGTTCTTTTCGTATCCTTTATTGGTTCTTCTTAATGAACCCCATTTGGGTTCTTTCCAGAACCCTTTTTCGTGCTCTTAATGAACCTTATTTCGAGGTTCTTTACGGATCCTTCTTTGGTTTTTCTTTATGAACCCTATTTCATGTTCTATTTGGAACCCTCCTTGGTTCTTTCAATAAATCCCAAGTTCTTTAGATTATGTTGGCGTTATTTTAGTAAACCATATTTTGTACTTCTAACCCTCTTTTATGAGAAATGAATTTTTTACATTCCTAGTTAGTTTTTAGTAAATCGTATTTTGTATTTCTTGCTCCACAAGGTGCATTTTTTCTACCAACCAAAGTGTCTTAAGATTGTTCATTAATCGCTAGCACTGGGCCTTTTCGACAGGTTGACAAACATCAGTCTGGCCAGAGTCAACACACTTCATTCCTGTACGTAATTAACTAGGTGACAGGCAGAACAGTAAACATCATGTCCAATCATATACTTTATTGGAGTAGCAAAAATTGATTCTTCTGTTCGCAGTAAAAAAGCTAACAAAATTCGAAACAGCTGCAAGACGAGACGGGTATCACTGCCAGCAATGTGCACACAGCTTCTACTGTCGTTCTGATGTCGCTCACTGTCAGGATACCGTCCAAAAAGATGTCAAATTCATTTTCCTGGAGATGGATGAGTGGCATCAGTGTCCGGACTTCCTACTACAAGAAAGCAAGAATATGAACACATGTATTTTCCTCTGTATTATTATGCTGCGAGTTGCTCATTCGCCGCGCTTTCAGATCAATTATAATTGTATAGGTTTCACTAAGCATTTTATTTCTCGTTTAGCCTTACGCTCTAAAACATACCCGCAGATATGATTTCCCTCAAAACATTTAGTGGGTCAATCAGTGCGATCTAGAGAGCGCGACCAGCGGATGACGAAGCGTCCCCTTCGAAGCCCCCTTCGCTACAACAATGTGTAAAAGCGAAAAATGGTACGCAGCATCAAGCGTTCCCTTTCCATCCAAGAAGTAGTAAAGGAAGAAGATCGGAAGTCAATGAATTACAATATATGTGCAGTACACACGTAAAACAATGCCCAACGTGCCACCGAATTTTCTCTGCTTTTAAAAATGCCCGTGCGTCCACTCGAGGGGCCGATCAATGCAATCTACGAAGAAAACTCGGCCAATGGAGAAGCTGAAAATATGTTTGACTTAAAAATGAAGTCTGTAACGTGACACTGAGCATGAAGTCAGTACGTGAACCGCCATGCTCAGTGACATCTCTCGCTTCATTCATATGTCTAAACATGCTTTGGCCTTTTTATTCGCCGAGCTCTCTTCGTGGATTGGTGTGATTGGCTTCTCGAGTGTTCTGCGGGAAGTAGATGCACAGGAATTTTAAGCATGTTTCAAGAAACGTTGGTTCTACCCATATTTAATCCTTCTTGCCCTACAGTCAGTAACAGGTTAAGAAAAAATCTACGAGCTGGAGAGGAGGAAGCGGACAGAAGCTTGTAGGGGAGAGGAGAAACCTTCTCTCCATTTCAAGCGTCCATCGGCTTTCTTCTTTTAGATTTTTCTTAACCTGTCATTGACTTTAGTCGCTTATATTTCCTCTATATTATTTTTAGAAAATAAAGCAATGATATGTTTTATATTACTAGCTCGTATATTGAAGATATAACCCTGACAAGTTTGCATTACCATCTGTGACAATGCACTATACTCGGGGGTGACTTGGGCAACTTTTTTGGCAATGTTGTCGAAGTTAAAAACGCCCGCGCATCTTAAGCGCCAATGAAGGCTATGCACACGCACTCTTCACTTCAGAAACGCCACAGAAAGTTGTTTCTGAGTATAAGTTAACCCTGTCTTAAACGAATGGCCCCGATAAGCGGTCATCATTTCGTAATGAGGTAGTAAGTTAACACAGCATATTTATGGTGGACGAAGGTAAACCTCTGCGTCGTCGCAGTCTGAAACTTGTGATAGATTACAAAAACACCAACTAAAGTATACCTTCAAGCAGCTCATCGAGGTTCAGAGTGACGTTCTTTTCCTTTGAGGAGCACCTGTGTAGAAGCTGTAAATGCCTCAATCTTGGCTCCCATGTCCTCCGGATGTCTTTGCCGAACGGCAGTTTAACGTCTTGTAGTAACTGAAAAATAAACAACGAATGGACAGTGTTGTTGGTTTACAAAAGTACATTTATGCGCTATGAATTTGTACACACGGATTGTTTACACACACACACACACACACACACACACACACACACACACACACACACACACACACACACACACACACACACACACATATATATATATATATATATATATATTATATATATATATATAAACTAAATGACCACTTACTGTCACTATAGTGGAGTAGGGCCTGGCGTCAATTAAAATAATTTCGATTTACGTTTTCTTTTATATTGACTAGTTAATCAATTTATAGGTCGCGCTGATCTCGAGGAAAGATATTGTGTCCAGAAAAGGCCTAGAACAACCGATTTTTTCTTTGACAAGTTTTTACTACGTCTTATAAGGCTTAGTACATAACAAATTGTCATTGTGCCTCATACAGAAGTAAGGCATGGCTAACATTTAAAATAAAATATATGTACATATTTGTACAATAACAAGTTCAAATATCAACTTGCCGTTGTGCTCATACACAAGAAAAGCATGAAAAACATTTAAAATAAAATATTTGTACGTTATTATTTAAACTTCAAAACCACTCTAGATAATAATCATATAAAACACTTAAGTAGCCATGAGAGACAATTGTGTTATAAACACAAAAAAAGAATTAAATGAATATTCTTTTTACTTTTTTGTTTATAAGACTTTTCGTAACTCTAAATCCAACCAATATGCCTGTTAAACTCACTTGATTCAGAGTAAAACAATAGTTAATTAATCGGAATGTTAACTAATTGATTGCCTAGCCTTATTACGAGGTAAAATTATTTAATTTAGCACGTATCAAAAGCCCTTATCTCATTCACAGGCGATAAAACGGGTAGTAAGAAACTTTTGAAGTCCTGATGACCTGTAAAAATCTCGAAACTTTAAGACTAAATATAAAGAAGATAATATTGAGTTACCATTCCGGGAATCGTCATTGCCGGAAATTCCTCAAGGACTGTGAGGGCTCCAGCATCGCTGAGGATCCATTCTTGGCAAGACTGAAACGTCCGCATCATGCGGTCTTGTATCAAGTCGACGTTCAGGGGCGCTTTAGTTATCTCTTCGTTCATGAGCAAAACATGACGGCGAGCACTCACGGCGTCTTCACATTTGTGAGTATCAACGAATCCCTAAAACAAAAACAATTTGTTACGTTGATGCGCCGTTTACGCATGTAAGCTATTTACATAATAGTTGCAGCACTGAATATAGGGCCAAGTATAACAGTTATTTTTATCAAACATACATCCACATTTGTGCAAACACAAAATGCACAAAAAGTTCGCGCCTGTCGATTTCCGCACAACACTCCGAGAGCCAATCGTTGCAACCTGCGAAGTCCTCTCAGCGAATGACGACGCGGAACATACGTTTAGACCAAGAAATGCAATCTGCGCTGTTACATTAAGCAAAGCAAGCGGGACGTTTTGCATTCCCTGATGTCGCAGACAGCATCTTTGGGTCTAACCAAATGTTCGGCATCCTCATTAGTTGAGCGGTGCCGTAAATTGCAGTGATTGGCTCTCAGAGTGCCATGTCCCTGGCCGGTCAAAAAACAAAAACGTTTACAGCAGCTATTCGCTCACGTTTATTGGGGCCATAAATATGGATACATTAGCTAATTAAAGCCCGGTAACATACGTTTTTACATTTACGAAGAGATATCATTGCTCATTTCATTCGCGCTGTAAATTCGAAGTTCTGTTCTTGAGATCTTTCTGGCGGAAAGCTTGAACTCAGCATTTTGTCATATTATATATAGTCAGTATTGTAGTAATGAAATCAGTGTTCGCTTAAAAAACGTTTTTTTTCTTGTGTAGTTCAACATACAAGACTGTAAAATAATGTTGTTTTTTTTTGCAACGTGCTTGTTTGGACAACTCCAAGTTAAAATAGCATAAAAACAAATTTCAAACGACAAGTAGCTTAATTAATAAGAAGCCGCCCCCTGTCCTACTTATTCTGCCTATGCATCAAACAATTTCCGGCCATTTTGAGCACTACTGTACTTATAGCAATTTTCAAGATAAATTATAAATATTGCCTGATTAGAAGAAGTTTTACCTTGAAATGATGAACAGGCCGATTGCAGTTCGTTTTCAAAAAGCCACCAGCAGACGTCTCCAATCGTCCATGTGCTCACGTCCGCTGACATGTTGCAAGTGATGGCTAAGAGGAAAGGGAGGAAGGTACTTTCTTCTAGAGCTTCAAACCCAAAGGGAGAGGAGGTCAAACATTGTTCCGATCCGCCACTCGTACGAGCGAGTGTGGCACTCCCTCGAGCAACGAAACTAGATCCTGTTGGCTCTAGTGACCTTCAGCGACCCATTCCTGTTCACCGCTAAGCTGACAGCGCGGTGGAAGCTACGTGCTTGCCGGACCAATCGCCTGGTTTTTATCACCTGACACCTTTCTCTGGGGTTGTGATCACATGGTGCAAGGCAGAAGGTTCACTGGTCAAACGAGCATGACGTTCCCAACGAACTGTCAGCCTAGTGGTGAGCAGATTAGCCCCCGAAACGTCGCTTTTGAACACATTACGGCTTATCTTCTGGGGTGCCGTTGAGCTGCCTGAACCATGGTTCGCTGGCGAAGATAATATGCAAATGTCATCGCTTTTCCGTCCTTGTCTGCCAGGAAACACGGCGATCACGTCACCAAGCATGTCCGTCAGCCGCCGGTAAAATTGTTGGCAGTTCACTCTCTTGCCAAAAATAAACACAAAATAAACAAGAGCGAAATTCTCGATTCGGCGTGACACCTTCCGGCAACGGAAACAATCAACACACTGTGTTGAGCAACGCGTGTTGGCCTATTTGGTGGCTGAGCGACTTTTGTGCCGGCAGTACGACAACGCACCTAGATTCGGTGATTCAGTGTCCGGTCAGTGACGTGTTTTTTTATAGGAATTTATCAAAATAGAGGGCCTGGAAACAAGATTGAATGATAATCGAGCCTATTTTGGAACTCGAAGGAGAAGTGATAATAAATCAATCAGAGAGAGCGAATTGATGTTGCTGACAAAGAATTTTTCTTCCAATCGGAGCCACCTCCGAACCGTCGATTGCCATTTCTGAACAAATATTAGCTCAGTTAAGCGCCACGTCACGCAAATGCTGGGCGTGCAGGCGGCGCTTATCTCTTTTACACTAGAAATGGGAATCGAAAACATAGAACCAGCCCAAAAACCGGAAAAATGGCCCCGGACAAAATTGTTCGAATAGAAAACTCGGACAAAATGGTTCAAATAAATTTTTTTCGTATTTTTTCTTGCTCCTTATTTTTATTAGCTTTAATTGGTACAATCCCAACATATAAAAAGATAAATATTCGTATAATGCAATACATTTTTTTGTGAAATAAACATTTCATTACACAAAGAAACTAGTTGTAAATGTGTGTAACGTTTGGCTTCACTCAAAACGTCTTCTTGTAGCTCTTTTCAACAGAGCTAGAAGAGGGAACTCCTTTAAAGTAAAACATTAAGTTCACAAAATGTAACTGTACGGCATCATTTTAAAGCTTCGAGCGGGAGATCGGAAAGAGTTGTATCAAGCAGTAAAATAGATTGTTGGGCTAGTTGGTTGATCGGCATAATGAAAAAGAATGCAAAATAAACGGTACAAAGTCGAAGAAAAACACACACGAGACAGGTGCCTGCCCTGTGTGTGTGTTTCTCCAACATTGTCGCGTCTATATTGAGCTTCTTTTTTTTTTTATAGTCTCTACAAAAGTTGCATTATAAGAGCATTGAATGTACTTAACAGAACTTCAGAGTAGCACCTTATTAACAGATGAGTGTCTAAAAATCACTTGGGACCATTCTCTCCGGGATTGCACTTGGGACCATTTTGTCCGGGGCCGTTTCGTCCAGGGCCATTTCGTCCGAGGCCATTTGTTCTGCATCCTATCATGCCATATTGCTCGCGAAAACTACGAGAACAGCAACGACCACGTTTCTGTGTGTTTTTTTTTTTTTCCTCATGCCATCCCATTCTCCTAACTCTTGGTGGGCGACCTCAAAGTAGCGAGCGGGGTTCAACGGCGGACGGAGCACTCATTTCTTACACTGCACATAAATTTGAACGCACAGCATATCGAAGTTTAGTTTTGCTTCACTCAAAACGCCCTTATAGAATATGCCTATGGGATTATTTCGGGGTATCCTTCTAGACATAACTGCTCCTTGAAATCGAAAAACCACCATTTACAGACTGATTTATTTTTGAAGATAAAGATGACTGCAACACATCACTTGAACCTTCCGCGCAGCAGGATTTTTGATGCCCCTCGCGGATGGGTCCCAACTCTATTTTTGCGGCTCGACGCGTGCCGCGAAACAATCAGAGGCGCCGCATTGGGAGACGGGTGGTGTCATGACTCATGACCACAAGCTAGGACAACTGCATTCTATACTAAAACAAAAAAAAACAAAAATCGTTCCTCTGTTCTATTTTTTTTTTCATTCATACGCGCAGTTATACGTATATATTGTTTAAACACGAAAGCAAGTTAAAAAATAGCTTTTGTTACTAAAAAAACACGACGCCGCTTAATCACCGTATCACTCATTCATCGCAACATGCACTTTTGTGTGTGTGTTGCTCATTCATCGAAGTTTTGCACCTTTGAAAATTTGTATGCATTTTTTGGGGGTTGGGGGGAATTAAACTACACAATCGATTTCCGGAGGTACAGATTTCTTCAAATAAACTTTAATTCAATGACCCGTTTGGTTTATACAAATGAGTACCTAAGAGTAGCTTTATACCAACATTTCTTACTAAATAAAACACGGCGAGCAGTTAGGCTTGCAAACGAACGCCAGTGTTCAAACCGCTGAAGCAGGTGGCCCGGGAGTCAAAGGCATCGAAGCCTGTTTCATCTGTGGTCCGAGGCGAAGATTATCTCGGTTTGGTAAATAACACAACGCGACTTGGTAAATAACTACGACATTCCACCTCTCTAAGCTTTCAAGGACTTGACAGCTCGCACGGGCAGCTTTGTTTCCACAGAATGGCGCACCCAATTTCTCGCGTGCAAAGCCTTTCGAGCCTGGTCATTGTGTCCCTCTATCCGGTAGAAGACTTAAGTGACCTCCTTTTTTCAAAGATCGCTTTATCTCTTTCCTGGCTGCAACAAGAACCCTTTTCGCTCTCTCCAGGCCGGAAACTAGCTCTGCATTTCTTTTTTTACTTTGCGAGGGGTGCTTTTGGTTGAGAAAGCACGCTTCTAAAGGATCTTCCCCGAAATCGGTTCTTGTTTAGCGAAAAGAACCCTTTTTTGCTCATTTGGCTCCTTTTTTTCTGAGAGTGTACCGCCACCAGCACACCTCCTCCATTCGTGGCTCGGTCCTTCCTGAAGATAGTAAAACTTTCCACATCCACAAGAAGCCCGTCAGGTATTGAGCGGTCAAGCCAAGTTTCACAAACTGCAAATACTGTGTCCGGGTAGGATAGGAGAAGAGTGCGGAAGTCAAGCAGTTTGTTTTTCAGCGAGCGCACGTTCGAAAACCATATTCCCAGGTTGGTGTTCTTGGCCGCCGACGGAGGAGAGGGAAGCGGTGGGGAAGCGATGGTCACGGGGGAAGCCTGCACTGCCGGTTGTTCGGAGGAGCTGGTGTTGGAGTTCACGACTCGGCTCTGCTCGGACGGGAACAAGTCGTCGGCGAAGGGCGGAAGTTGGCATGCAGCACAGAGCCACTCTGACGATGATGAGGAGAGGCGGCGATACGACGCAAAGGATACGTCCTCACATTTTCGGTGTAGCCAGAAGTCACAACCGTCAGACTGAAGTGCGGCCACGTTGTCATACACCGACCGGGAGCAGCGAGGGCAGGTGGGCCGCGGACCAGGGTTGGGGGGCACGTCACCGGCGATGAGGAGGAGCCAGATGAGATGCGGTTGACGGCGGATTGAGCCAGCGGATAAAGGCCGGCCGTTAGGCCTAACGCCTGCCCACCACAACAGTTCGCCTTTACAGGTAGCGGTGCTTGGAGAAGCTGTTATTGTCCACAAATGGGCCACCCGATTTCCACGCTCTGTCGACGCTGTTGACGACGGAAGGCCACTCCTGCGAAGGCTCACTAATGCCACCAGGCATAGAAAAAGACGGAGATACGCAAAAACATGTGTGCGTCCCGCCATTGCGATCATCAATCCGTAAGTTCATTCTGAACTTACGGGCGTTGCCAAGACGCAGCGTCTCCCAGCTCTCAGTCATCGATTGTTATTCTTGAACACGGTATTCGTAAGGAAGATATTTAAAATATCTACTAAAACGGCTAAAACGTAAAAAGAGGAGATTTCCGAAGCTTCTGGAACTTCAACGACCATTCAAACGAGCCCAACGGAAGCTGATTGCGATAGCGATGGTCTTGCGCAGTCTTCAAGAGTCTCTTTTTATTTTTATTTATTGTTATTTTTTTTAGAACGATACTAAGCAAAATAAATTATATTAGTAACAATAAGAATTTCACTAAAATAATAATGTAAAACATTACAAAAAGTAAGTAAATCTTAGGTTTTATTTAAACTTTAGGTTGTTTCTTTTTTGAGTAAACCGAAACCGAAACTAACTCAAGCAACGTTTCCTTTGTCGTAATTGTTTGCGTGTGCGTGTGTGCATGCGCGTGCGTGTGTTTGTGCGCACGCGTGTGGATGCGTCCGCGTGCATGCGCGTGTGCGTTTCTGGTTGTGCGTGCGTGTGCGTCTGCGCGCGGGCGTGGGTTTGCGCGTGTGCATGCGTGTGTACGTGCGTGCGCGCGTGTATCTGTGCGACTGCGAGCGCGCAAGCGTCTGTTTGTTCGTTCTATTGCATTGCGCCCGCAAGAAGAACAATTGGATGTCCCTGGACACTGTTAAAACACTAACTTATTGATTATTATTATTATTATTATTATTATTGTTTTTGTTGTTATTGAAACATAGCCCTGAGACTTTAGACACAGGGCCCTAAACTTTTCTACAGCTGGCTGTAGCTGTATCTATAAATTTTTAAGGCCGACCATGCAAAGCTACAGGGGGTGATGGCCTCCCATTGAATTTCCCATAGACGACCATAGGCCATTTTTTATGGGATGTCTCGGACTGGTTTGTTATGGGATTTGCCTCTTTATCTGTGTGAGTTTTTGTGCATGTCACCATATTCTCAAATGAATATTTTACTCGGGTTGACATGGTGATGAGGCAGGTTCTAGCAGCATGTCATGAATATTTGTCAAACATTTTCACAATATTTTAATTTCATGTTGCCAGATATAAACTCGAGACTAACTGATTTTCTTACTGTACACTTCCATCAATCAATATTTGTAAAAAAAATGCTAGTATAGAGCATTTCACCCTACTTTCCGATTTCTGAGCATGGAATGATTTGTAAGAAAATTAAATATGAACTCATATATAAAATTTTGTTTGCAAACATAAAAATTGTATGCAAAAGAGGCACTTAATTATCAGCTATTTGCATGAATTACAACTGACATTATAAGAAACTAGACTGCTAACAACTGTTGCTTTTCAAGCAGAAATCTTACCTGTACATTATGTACAGAGCCATATATAAGCTTTCCAAAACCATTTCACATTATTTATTTAGCACCCTCTTCTACACCCTTCTCACATTCTTCACTAAATGTAGGGTGTAACACGAAACAGCACCTTTTTCGGTAAAATTATGAGGTTGTATTCCTAGTTTTAGGGTGTTAAAAAGGTGTAGCCGAGGGTGTAAGTTGCTACAACACCCATTTTACACCCGTAAAGGTGTAAAAACTTTTACTGTGTAGTACGGCCGAGCATCACTGGCGTCAATAGGGGGTTTTCGTAGACCGCGTCGCCCCCTCCGCTAAGCGTTCCGCAACGAAGTTGCTACTGCGCCTGCGCGCCGATAGCCTTGACTGTGGAGTTCCCGCTATCGTAGCGGATTGCGGAGGGCCTTGCGGGACGGCGAAAACGATCTACGAAAACTCTCTAATCACCACGATAGCGTCAATAGCGTCACGGCGCTGCTCACCACCCGCCAACAACCACGTTGTTAACAACAAAACCAGCGTTCTGTACATCTAGGTCTAGATGTTCATTTCTTTTTCTTTTACGTGTGGCTCGATTTTGAACGTTTCCTTTGCGGTTTTAACCGAAGCTGTTAGCTTTCCTTGGCTCAGGAAATCAGTATCCTAGCACCTAATTAAAACATTACTGAGACTAGCTTAAGTTTGATCAATATATGAGAGACGTCTTGTTTAGGCTCTTCCAAAACACAAAGTCTGAAATATCCAATCTTATCCGACTCAAGCACAAGCTGATCGGGGTGCATGACTAGCATGGCGGTTCACTAAGCTGAGTGCATTGATTTTTAAGGTAGAAAAGGGGGCTTATGGTCGGTATACAGGTACACTGGCTGGGTAACGGAGGGTGCGTCTTCCAGGAAAGGGGAGCATCTGCGCCTGATGCACCCGACTACAACTTTTTTTTCTTCGAGTGCAGTTGGGAAGTAAATATGTGGAGCAGTAACCGAAAAATCGCGGATGTGGCATTCGCGCTAAGAGTGCCGCGTGGCGACAGAGCGGTATAGTTAGCGCGAAGATGACGTCGGCGCTGCTTTCGTATTTTATTTTCATAGAACAACGACGGGCACAATATTTTCCCACTTCTAGTATAATGTTCCAAATGAACATATCACACGACAGTGCTAGTTAAGACAATATCCTTTCAAGTCTAACGAAAAAAAAACTGAATAAAACGGTGATCGTTTGCTTGCGCTAACAGTGTTCGCGCGATGCACGCACTAATATTCTGCCAACCACTCGCTCGTGATGCTTCTCTCGCTGCCCGTCGTTATGCCAAAGTTTCGTCAACGCGATGAAAGTTTAGATTATGGGTGTCCCTGCGGCGAAACTGAAAATCAGCACTTTTGGCAGAACACTTGTCGGCCATGTTTATGTCCACGGCGGCCAAGCTGAGAATCAGCACTTCTGGCCAAACACTCGCCGGCCATGTTTATGTCCACGGCGGCCAAGCTGAAAATCAGCACTGCTGGCCAAACACTTGCCGGCCGTGTTTATGTCTCCGGCGGCCAAGCTGAAAATCAGCACTGCTGGCCAAACACTCGCCGGCCGTGTTTATGTTTCCGGCGGCCAAGCTGAAAATCAGCACTACTGGCCAAACACTTGCCGGCCGTGTTTATGTCTCCGGCGGCCAAGCTGAAAATCAGCACTTGTGGCCAAACACTTGCCGGGCGTGTTTATGTCCCCGGCGGCCAAGCTCAAAATCACCACTGCTGGCCAAACACTTGCCGACCGTGTTTATGTCCCCGGCGGCCAAGCTGAAAATCACCACTGCTGGCCAAACACTTGCCGGCCGTGTTTATGTCTCCAGCGTCCAAGCTGAAAATGAGCACTTCTGGCCAGGCGCTTGCCGGCAGTGCTTATGTCTCCGGCGGACAAGCTAAAAACAGCTAGTTTGTGGCCGGACTCTTGCCGGCCTTGTTTATGTCTCCGGTGGCCAAGCGCTTAAAGTGGCCAAGCTGTCCAGACACTGGCCAACCGCCGGCCGATCGAAACTCACTTTCTGGTGCTGCTTGGGATACGTGTACACGTTCACATTGCAAGCAAGTGATTTAAAAATTAACATGGGAGAACTTTTATGGTCTTCACATATTTACCCAACATGTAAACAATTTGTACAAAGGAAGTTTAGCCACTTACATTAGGTTTTATTCAACCATATATTGCACAATGCGCTGTCACGGTTCAAAAATGTTCAATGGCTCTCCTGAGATTATGTACTTTACCAATGAGCTTACGTAATTTAAAAAAAAAAAAATGTTTGTGCACTTTTAGCTTCATTTAACTTTTATTTTCCCAGAATAATATAAGCTAGAAAACAAAGTTCTTTTAAATGTCTCTTTTTATTTTTTATTTAGGGTCACAAATTACGACGCAAAGGAATCGCACACCTTGTATTTTATTAGCGTGAGACTTCACGAATGCGCGGAGCTTGCCGACAGTTCATTTCTTCCGTAATTCAAAGTTTATTGTCAGTCCGTGAGGTCTTGAACATAAAAGCACGTAAAAATACCGAATTTCTACTGGCATATGTCTGCATCGAAGATTTCATATTTTGGTTTTGGTACAGCGCAACCAAATTCATTGACAGAGCCTTGGTAGGCAGACTCGCATCCTGGGTTTATGGCTGTAGGGTTCTGTCTATCAATCATCCACACCTGGTACACTGAAACAATTTTTTTTAATTAACGTTTGCGTTTTATCACTAATTATCCGAATATCTCTGAATCAGACACTGCTCTAAAAAAGGGGAATTGTGACTTGATTGAATTCTGAGAGGTCCCTTCAAACTATCGGTTAATGTTGAACTTTGCCACTAATTATACCGCATTGTTTCCACACCATCGAAGTCAGGAGTGCGTTACGAACAATAGTTTTGGGAAGTCACAGCAAAGGTAACATTACGCTGGCCACCACCAGTGACGGTGGCGACCACGTGTGTTCAAGCACAGCACGCCGAGCGAACGCTCGAGATGTAGGCTCGGATGTTGTGAGTTCCAATACCAGCCTCGCAATTTTCGATTGGGACGCCTAGAGCCCCTAAATGAGCTACGCTTCGGAGTGACGACATGTCAGGCATCTTGGTGCTCAAAACTAATCTTGCCAATTACTTGAAGTGCCATCTGGAAGCGCGAGTAACATTTTTTTTTCTCCTTCAGAAATTTACACGCAGTCCGCTGGCAGAGCTAAACAATATCGCCCAAGCCCCGCATTCAAAACTCAGGAAGTCACAGCTTCGGATCGTAACCATCGCCCGCTCAGCACGAAAGGCCAAGATGGCGGTGCCCGCAAGAAATTTGGGGAACGAAGAGTCCGTACTCTACAGGCGTAGCTTATTTATTTTGGAGAGTTCGCTTACGTGCACGCTTTCTTACGTTCGTTATGGACCACCGTGACGTCCGCGTTTCGGATGACGTGTGCAAAGATACTCCTTGAATCTGTTTCCAGGCTTCACATGAAGCACGAATTTCCGCGGTGACTTTGGACGTAAGCGGATTCACAAGCTCCCGTAACACCACACAAAGTACGCAAACGATATAAGCGGGCCTTTAATGTAGTAATCGCTATTGATTAGTTGAGTATACCTAGGTACTACAGGGTACTACGTTTAAAACACCCGATTGGCGGTCGTACTGTACCAGGGTTGGGCAGAAATACTCAAAAATGTATTTGGAAATACAAATACTGGGATACATTGAAATAGTAGCTAAAATACTGATACTAAGATACATCTGTAAAAATGTATCGCGATACGTATCAGAAATACATTTTAAAAAGAGACAAAAAGTATTTGGAAATACAAATACAGGAATACATTTTAGGGAGGGCAGAAATACAAATACAGAAATACTGATACTGAAATACATTTTTCAAATTTTTGGAGACGCCAACTGAGATGAAGCTTGAAGTTTGAAGTGGATGTTTTCGATCCCGAAATTACGTTCCGGTAGGCTTGGCACTTTGCCTTGAAGGTAGTGGTTTCGGACAACAAGGAGTCTTCAATGGGCCCAAAAAAACGTTCCAACAATTGCTGACCGCGGTCCCTTCCATGACATCCTGTCTGTCTGACGAGGGAATCCTGTCAACATTGATCACATTATGTCACGGCGGAATGAACTAGAATTCTTTATCTGTAGGTGTGGCCTTGAACATAAAACTTTACCACGCTACTGTATAAAAGGACAATGCGCACTTTCGTTGTAGGCTACCCAGCTGAAGATCGTGCATGCGTGCATGCAGTGTCATTTGGAATTTTTGAGAATAGTGGACCACCTGAAGAATCTTGGAATACATGTCTTATCTTCTGTTTTACAGTTGAAAAAACGATACGGTAGCGTCCCTGTCCTGAAGGTCCTTACTACCGACCCTCCGCCACCGACGCACGGATTGCAGTCCTCAAGTTTTGCCTAGCAAAACTTGAGGACTGCAATGTCAGCTCTTAATCCTCGTGGATTACGAGCTGATATTGCCGGCACAGGTGCGAGCTGTCCAAGAAACGGCGGTCTCGAGACTAGTCGCGGGAGTACGTAGTTTGGGATGGCACAGCGATGCCACTTCTGGCCTCCTTCTGGGTTTCGGATCACCAGAGCAGCCGGTCACGTCCACGTGGGCTGATGACGTACCCTTGAGCCGTGCAGTATTACGGGCGCAGCGGCAAATGCATTCGGATATGTGTTGAAGTTCACAGCATGAGTCTTCCTACTATTTCAAGTCAGTCACAGCCTGGCTCGTGCTGCAACGGAATGTGACTCAGCTTTGCCGGCAGGGTGTACTCTGTACGCTAAGGCGAGAGAGACGGTTAGCAGCCGGCATTGGATGCCAGGAAACAATGACTCAAGAAATCCCTACCTAAAGACCTGCGGCAGAAGATGCTCTGACTCCACTCCTGGCACGCCACCTGGTTCGAGTTTCCCACTACGCAACACTTCTCAGAAAAGAGAAGAGGACTAATAGAAAAATAGTTTGCAGAATGAAAAGGAACGAATTGGTCAGCATAGTAACAATACCCCAGCATCTCCTTGACTCTGGTGCCCTTAGAAGTAAAAAAAAAAAAAAAAATGCGTTCGAACTTGTTTTTTTTTTGTTTTTTTTTTTTGTTTCGGGGCGGGCCGGGGGGGGGGGGGGGGGAGTATCTCTCAAGAAATGTAACGAAATACACTTCATCTTGATTGTATCGCGATACAAAGGAACATTCAAAATGTATTTCGATACAGGAATACAGATACTGGTGCAAAAAATGTATCGCGATACAGAAATACAGATACGAAATGTATTTCTGAAATACTGTCGCGATACATTTGTATCGCGATACTGCCCAACCCTGTACTGTACTGTGTCAATTACCCTCGCTGGAACGGGGGTAACAAGAAGTTGCACCTAAAGGCAGACTAGCGGCTCGTTGTCGAAACACAGATACAATCAGTTGGGTGCTGCTAAAAAAGGTGTTGGCGTCCACGTACTTGGTACACCGTCAGAAACATGGGTCAAATTAATACGACTTGTAAAATGTTACGATATAAACCCGGGCGCCGTCGGACTCAGGGTATCTTTTATAGTACCCGATACTGACAGCGCTCGAGTATAACGGACAAAAATGCGATCACATGCGACCCCCCTTAAGGGCCATAATTAATACGAAAACCTCGCGTTTTACGTAAATCACTAAGGCGCAGATTTATGTTGTCGCATAATAAAATTGTGTCTCATCTTGGTTTGCACCTTTATATTGACTATATGCTGTCTTTCACAAGGGTACTTGAAATGCGCAAATGTAAATCGGGGATCATAATGACACCCGAAAGCATTATATCGGAAAGCTACATAGCTGTAACTGCTAAATCCAAGAATGCAGGCGCATTGCGATTAGTTCATGTTGGCGTCGTGACGAGGCGCCATACAACCACCAACACACAATCAAAGTTGACATGGCTAAGGAGTGTACAATCACCATCACGCTTGGCAACGGAAGTACGGGAGCGCCATCACCTTTTGTCTTCCTCCGAAATACGCTACATTGGTGGCAGCTGCAGTGGTAAGAGCAGTCGGTGACGTTGCGAGCAAGTTCAACGGCGTGCGTTACGTTTTGTTTTCTCTCGCTACAGACGGCTGGACTCTGTTACCTCTTTATAAAAAAGGAAATCTACCCCTCCTTCAAGTGAGGAGGAAGCAGAAGCGGCTTGACCGTTTTTATAACATAATGAATAACCTGGTTTTAGTAAATAAGCAACAGTATATTAATGAGAGCATGTCGCGTACAACCCGCAACAAGCATGTTCGGTATGTGGAAGAGATAAAGTTTTCCAAGGACCGTTTTAGGTATTCGTTCTTTTTGCACCCAGCGCGAGAGTAGAAGAAGCTACCGGCACATGTCGTGACCGCTGAAACTCGAGAAAAGTTTAGTTCCCTTGTTTCAGAGATTTCCGACAGCAGTACCTAGAGTTGTCATTTCATCGTTTCGTTGTATACGTGTTATTGATCTGTGCATTTTGAGTGCGTGTATTTTTTATTTTTTTTTGTGTTGTGCATATCCACTCCTGTCTAGGTCCTGTGTAGGACCGATAGTATTTCAAATAAATAAATAAAAGCTGCATATGCTCCGGAACTGTACGCGAGTCTTAAAACTTGACTATTGCGTGAAATAATGTAAAAGATAAAGGCAAACTATATAAAAGAGCATCGGGTTTATTATAAGAAGGGCGTGTGGTTCAGTTATGTTCGCTTATTTTTTATTGCTAGCCCTCAGAAAATTTTAAACCTCCTTTTCAGGGCTTTTTTTTTTTTTTTTTTGCAATTAAAATAAAAATATTTGAGAAAGTAGGAAGGTTAGAGCTTACGGTCGTCACTGATCCTCCTTAATGTGAAACAGGTTTTATAGTCAGTAAAAAGCAGATCATAAGCTTCGTAACCTGAAATTTATTGTTAAACAAGAATTACATTAGAAGTTAACTTGAATAAAAAGTGAAGTTCAGTCGAAAACGCTACAATCACAGTATGTTTGATTTTATATGCAGGCCTTAGAAACTAAAAAAAGCCTCGTCTCAGGCTCACCCTCATTCCAGAAATAGTCTTTGTTTTAACGCATCAACGTTAAGAAGCTCGTGTCGCAGAAAAGCTGATATCGGTGGCGTGGCAAGAAAATCCTGATTGGATTTTGACCTCGCGCGGGAATTTCAAGCAACCCCCAATGCTCACGTCAAACGTGACATCACGCGTGGAATGAGAGTGATTAAAAACATGACATATAATGCACATTAAAGGTATCCGCATGTCTAAAATCATTTCACTTTCTAAAGTAATTCATTTACCTTAAAGAAATATTTGAAAAATTTTAGGCGGGATTTGAACCCCCCCCCCCCCCCCCCCCCCCGGGCTATTCAGTTGCGAGCCAGACACGCTACTGACTAAACCATGTAATCCTTTTATTTTACTGCGATTAGGCTATTTTTGCCGCACTTCCTGCTTACTGGCTGGAAGGGCATGGCAAGCTATAGTAAGAAGGCGATGAGTACAGAACCCGATGACGCCATCGCGTTCCGCTCTTATAGGCGGAGCTTAAGCGTGCTCCAAGTTTTTGAATTCTTATTTCTTTTAGATCTGATATTATATTATTGAATTATTAATTAATTAATTAATTTGTTTTGCCCTCAGTTAGATCCAGGAATATTTAACTATCAACATGGAAGCTTGCGATGTGTATTGTGGGCTTACTTGTGGCGATATGGTTTTGTGCTACCAATCTGTCATAGTATTCGAGACTTTCGTTCGATTTCTCCAGGACGATCACGATAGAGTAGACATCCCTGGAGCAAAGACAGAAATAATATGTTATATTGGAGCGATCAGGATGAAAACACAACTTTAAAAGATAGAGTGGACTTGTTTGTTTAATTGATCTCTTATTTAACCAATTGAAAATAAATCTTTGACTACTAGTGAACTTTTGTGATTACATATTTTGTATATTAAATTGATTAATCTCTGTAATATTCATTTTAAGTTTGACCTCTAGAAGCTCCAGAAAGTGTATGAGCTAGAAAGACCATAACCAGATTAAAATTTACAAATCGCAGCTTTTTAAAGCACATCTTAAAACACAATCTCCCGTAAAAGCCGATCAAGGCCTGTTGATTTCTTGGGATGTTTCAACCAAGTCTTATACACTGCAGTCGTGCCGATATTTATATTTATTTCGAACCGTTATTTGTATTTATCTATTTTTATGCACATTTTTGCTTTTACTTTTTTGTTTCACCAATTGACCGTTATTATCAGCCATTTTGACTACGCCACCGCTGCCGCAATGAATCGAGAGAACTTCAGTCTTTCAGCACGTTCGGAAACCTCGCTGGAACTCTGCGCGAGCAGAGAACGAGACGTCACGAGCCCTCTCGTGCACCGCTGTCTGCCCCCTGTGAACTGAAGTTATGGCGGCGTCACGCATGCGCCGAAGTCTTAGTGAGATCGGTCTATTGTTGTATATATACATAGTGGGCATGGTGGCACAGGAGCAAAGGGGCCGAAGGCGTATATATAATGAAGTGAAAAACTCACGGTGAGAAACAACAAATAGCGGAAGTCTAATCGACAGTTTCGACGAGAGACTCGGCTTCGTCAGAAGTCGTCTCCTGACAAAGCCGAGTCGCTCGGCAAAACTGTCGATTAAACTTCCGCTGTTTGTTCTTTCTCACCGCGAGGTTTTCACTTCGTTATATATATATATATATATATATAGGTGAGGCAGAGTAGTTTGATAACAATGGACAGGGAGAATGTAATAAGTCAGAGATCCGTACCTGCGGAGTTGCTATGCTAGGAGTTTATTGTATGTATTACGAGGGTTTCGCCGAGAGGCTCGGCTTCGTCAGGAGATGGCATACATGTCCACTGTATGCCATCACATCACATGTATGCTATCCCCTGACGAAGCCGAGCCTCTCGGCGGAACTGTCGTAATACATACAATAAACTCCTAGCATAGCAACTCCGCAAGTACGGATCTCTGACTTATATATATATATATATATATATATATATATATATATATATATATATATATATATATATATATATATATATATATATATACATATATATATTTTAGAAACATTAATGGGAAAATCGGGCCAGTTTTTAGTAACTGGCCCCTTTCATCTCCATGCATTAGAGAGCTCCGTAGGCCGCACTTTTCCCATAAAACAGCTAAGAAATTCACATAACTTTTAAATGAGATAACGATTGGTTTTGAGCATTTGGCATCTTGTTTGGACACCGAACGCTGCATTCTGGGGGAAAATGAGTGTTCGGTCATATGTAATTTAATTTTGCAGTGAAAAAAATCGTGTGATTTTTCGGGGGGGGGGGGGGGGGGGAGGGGGGGGGACAGTGTTACTCCCGTGCTCGGGGGGTTTATGCATGTGGTCCTGCAGTTAGTACTATAAAATGACATCGCAAAGTGACGTGCGCGTGAAGTCACAACACGAACACGTATGGTGATAATCACCGCGTCGTCAGGCTACCACCACACGAGGTGACCTAGCCGGGATTTTCCACCCGTAACAGATTCACAACCGTGATTCCAGTGAGGAGGTGTCCACATGCATGAGAAATGTTTAATTACAGTTATTTACAATACGTACAACGGTCAGGGACCGAGAAACGCGAAATATGGCTGCGATCCGTGGCGAACATGGCGCAGGCTCGAAACAGACTGCGCGAGCAAATCTTTTTTTTTTTTTTTTTTTTTTTTTTTTTTTTCGTGCAACAAGCATAGCTTGATTTTTTAGATTGGGTGCGATATTTGTGCATCCCGTATAAAGCCCAAAAAGGCTCCGGCACGCGCGTTCACTCCGGTCCATTTGTATTAGTCCTCAGGGGAGGCCAGGTTGAGGTCTCGTGCCTGAGTCAGGGGAAGGAGGCGGTGCTGAAGATTTGGGCAATTCCAGAAAATGTGTTGGAGTCCAACTGCGGACGCCCTGGCAGAGCAGTAGGGGCGCGCCGGGCTGGTAAAGGCCCAGCAGCCTTGGCCCCAGGAGGCCAAGGCTGCTGGGGTGACTGCGGAGTCCGTCTGGATCCTTGTGAGGAGGACCTCCTCCCGCCGCGGCAGGCCCGCCGGGAGGGGATGTGGGCACGCGGGAATGAGTGCACGCGTAGCGACAATTATGCGAGCCTTGCCCATGACGAGTGAGGCCTCCGGCTCATTTGGAATGGGGGCGGGATCAGGGGGGGGGGGGGGGATGTTCAATCAGGGCTCGAGCGATTTGGTGGGCTTTGTCCTGGTGAGTACCGTGCTGGTGCCCAGGGGTCCAGAGAATCCGGACTTCTTTAGCAGATGTACGATTTAGGGCATGAATCTCATGGCAGATATGTAGCAAAGATCGCGTTGACTTGAGATGTTGGATGGCAAAGGCACAATCCGTGTGAACGCGTACTCGAGTGACATCGGGCATCCGCGTTAGTGCTTGTATGGCGTCTCGAATTGCGTATAACTCTGCGATAAGCGGATCGTCCAACTCTGTGGCGTAGAACGCCGATGTGTCAATGGAAGGTTGAGATGGACAACGCACTGCGGTAGCGATGCCATGACGGCACTTTGCTCCGTCGGTGTAGACATCTATCGCCAACTCATCCGAGCTCGGGGCCGCGACCTGCTCTACTCGTGGTGGCGCGGAGCCGGACGGATGCGTGCGGACGGTAGCAGGCTTGTTGGTAGTAATTGTAGTGTAGTACCATGGTGGTGGTGGAGCCCCAACGTACGGAGAGCAGCGGGGAGGTTCCTCGTGCAAAGGAGTGATGGTATGTTTCAGATTGCGAAATTTTCTTCGTCGATTGACAAGTTGTTCAATAGTGTTTATTTGCGCATACTCGTACAAGTGCCAGGTAGGGGTATGCCGAGGGAGACCAGTCATGCCGCATATTGCGTCCCTATTGATCTGCTTGCGGAGCACTGCCTGGGCGGAGCACTGCCTGGGTCGCGCTCTCTTGGCTTTACTTCCGACGACGACGAAGTCGGTCCGGAACAGGGAACGACCGCTTCAGGTCCCTCGAGGAACCCTTTTCACGGCCCCTCCAAAGTAATAGTGTTTTGAAAGCAAGTATATCGTCACTATTCACTTGGCGCCATATTTAAAACGCGGGTTCACAGAGCGTGTTCAGAAATAGCCCCCCATTTATGTTATGCAATCTCGGTGCGTGCAGTGCAGGTTGCGGAAGTGTTGTGGAATCTCATCGTCAGCTCGCGTTCGGCAGCAATTAACGGACTTAACTATGGCCGCCACTGAATACTTCCTTCAGTATGTTGCGAGTTTGAGCCGCGGCTATACTGCTGACGCATCGTACTAAAAGAAAGTCAGCAGACATTGTTTGAGGAATGTATCTTTTTTATATATAAAGGTCCTGGTACGCTGGTCATACAAAAACTGTCCGCAATGCTTACATGCTCGAGGCATACGGATGTATGCAGCAAACATTCTTCGAAGATGCTTGAGGCTTGTCTGCAGATCTTTCTATCATGTCTGCAGACAACTTTTGTATCATCATGATGATGATGATGATGATAAGCAGTGTGACTGCGAGTTTAAAATAGAAAGACAAGCCTGCTCCCAAATAGTCTCTGCTTGCCATGATCGGAAATTTCCTCCTCTCCAACGTTCGCTCTGCTAAAGTGGAAAAAGTTAGGGGCTTTGAAGTGAAGTGCTCTCAATAAAGGGGCGCCTGACTGTGTACAAAACAAAGTACGCACACTTTTAGCTCTAGGCAAACGACCGCTGAACTCAGCGCATCCAATTAAACTTCCCTTGAATTATATAAATAAACCCGGAAGCCGGAACAACTTTAGAGGAGTGTTTATCTAGCGTTTTACATATCAGTGAGATGGGTAAAAATCTATGGGAAACTTCGTGAAGCGCGTTTCAATAGTACAGTCAAATGCACGAGACGAAATAAAGCAAAACAATATTAACAAAGCAAACGTTGCTATTTCCCTGCAGAATCGACGTAGGAGAGATGTACATACATTTGACCCGTCGAGTTATCCCTAAAAAGTAGCATGGTCAAGAACTCTTTCTTCCCTCGGCGTGCTTCGTAATACTTCATTTGAAAACACTTTGATTCACCTCCCAGTTTCGTGTCACTTTTTTCGGAGCGATACAGGAGGTAAAACGTTTGGGGTCTATCAAACAACTGGAAAAAAGAAAAAAAAAATCAACACCGACGCTAAATCAACATTTTAGGAGACTCGCTCAAATATTGACATGCCTACCCCCCAGAGCTGAGAGTGCTAAGATTGAGTATCTCTTAGCATATGAGAAGATTCATATAAGTAACCCGATATTAAACCTAACTGACAATTAAAAAAAAAAAAAAAACAGAGCTAAGAACAAGACAACTGCCCAGGTATCGGCAAAACCCCAAAACCGCACATGAAATCATATTGCATTAAAAATAGTTGCGGTCACAAATTTTCAATAAGGTTAATAAATATACATATATATATATATATATATACATATGTATATATATATACACACACACACATATATATGTGTGTGTGTGTGTGTGTGTGTGTGTCTGTGTGTGTGTGTATATAACGGGCATGGTGGCGGGGGGACGAAGGCGTGGGTATAACTGAGGAGAAAACCCTCGGTGAAAACAGCAACAACGGACGGTTTATTCTTCGACGTTTCGGCCGGAGTCCGGCCTTCGTCAAGAAGAACTTTTACAGATGAACGCGGGTGGTATTTATACAATGCTACGGTCGAGACTCGACCGTAGCATTGTATAAATACCACCCGCGTTCATGCCGTAGCATTGTATAAACACCACCCGCGTTCATCTGTCAAAGCTCTGCCCAACGAAGGCCGGACTCCGGCCGAAACGTCGAAGAATAAACCGTCCATTCCTCGATGCTTAGCCTGTCACACCGTAGAGAAACAAACACCCCGCACTTCCACCATATATTGTGAGTAGGGCTGGGTAGAGATACTCAAAAACGTATTCGAGGAAACAAATATTGAGAGACATGTACTTAGCTTCTACACAGATACTAAGATAGATTCGTATTTTATGTAGCGGAGTATTTTCAAAGGCGCTTTCACACCGGCGATGTAAGCAGTTGCGCGATGCGACTAGATCGCATCGCACTGGTCACACAGACTCACACTGGCGTGCGCGATGAGCGAGTCCAACGCCTTCGTTGGCGAGTCGTTTCTCGACAACTCTCGCTCCGAACGCCGTTGATTGGCTTAGCCGCTCTGCGACCAGATCGCATCGCAAAACGTCGGGTCAGCAAACGACTGCTCAAATCGCGTCGCCTTTCACCCGCGATGGTCGCTTTTGCGATGAAAGTTATCCCGTGACTAGATCGCATCGCCGGTGTGAACGGGCCTTAAGGTACGTCTGTAAAAACAACAAGAAAGTGACCCAAAATACGGATACGGTACTACCTATACTGAAATAAGTTTTTCTCAATCGGTAGTAGATGTGGATGAACGGACTAACTGAGAGATGAACGGACGGGCAGGCGACTTTTTGAAACTAGGGTTCTTTTATACAGCATTTCATGCTTTGAAACCTATTAAATGTAGCTTTTTTTAGATTCTTGGAGACATTGACAAGCTCGGTAGAAAGACTGTTAGACGAAAGAGATGATGTGGAGAGTAGAGAACGTTAATGAGGACGGTTTCAAGAGTACCGTTCACTAATTGACCTATTAACTAAACGTATCTGGTGATCATCCCCCGTCAACTACAAATTGCTATTAAGCCATATGCGAAGATGTAGAACAAAAAAGTCTACATTTTCTATAAATAGATCTAGCACCTGTCTTTTTGCAAATTACATCGAGTTCGCAAGCTTAGAGGGACCAGTCAACCCGAAGACTTACACGTAAATATTGCTAATCTGATTATAGCATAAAACGCGGATGACTCGCGCAGTAGTGGTCTCCAATCCAACTTCCCAATCACACACGAGGGAATTCAAAAGGTGATAAAATATTATAAACCAAATCGCCTGTTGTCACGTCCTCAGGTGTTCAGTGCTTCCCAAACCATTGTTTTGGAAGCACTTGTGCGCGGAAATCACTTTCAAAAGCCACGTCATTCCATTCATTCCTCTAGCGGCGCTGTACAAAAGTCTCGGGGTGAGCTATAGCAGTCGTCTTCTGGCGCTCGGACATCCATCACATACCTTCGAGGCGTCCTTGTTCGTAGCGGGTTCTGGATTACCGTCTCTGGGTACTGCACCAGAGTGAGCGGAGGAAAATACTGCCAAGAGAACTAGCAGAATCATGCTGTTGTATCTATGGCGTATAACCCGACATACGTGGGAGATATAAGGCGGATTTATATAATGCGTTCGCATTTGAAAACACATGTAATGAATAACAGCTGATAGAGTAAGCAGAAAAAATCCGCAAAATGGCAACGACCGCGCTTGACTTTTGTGGATACGGCAAGGGCAATATACGTACACAAAAACAAAACCCTCGAAGAAATAGTGATAAAGGAGGAAGTTATGAAGTAGATATGGGAATCAAGTAGACGGGTTCGGGTATAGCCGTCTTCTTCCAAGTATGCCAAACAGAATAAAAAACGGAGAAGCGGTTGTCAGCCGAGTTCCCTTCTTTTTACTTTCTCGCCTTTTGGCGTTAGCTTGGTATTTCATTAAACAAAAGCAACGAGCGACGTGATGATTCACTTTTGCCACTGCTCGATTGGCTCCAACGGAGAGTAGCGTCAACGCAGTATAGCTTTACAGGCCTTACTTTGATTCCTGAAGCGTCATCACCAGTGTTGCCATCGCTGGGCGTCAGAAATCTAATAAAAGGAAATAAAAAAGCCGCGATATCCCGCTAAATTTTAAAACGTATCCGCCAAATTTTCTAATAAAATCTCTTTTATTAAAGAAATACAGTGACATTCTGTATGATATAAACCGTTTTTGTTCTTAAAAGCTGCCCCAAACTGTGACAGCTGAGATAACACGTAAAGAGTGTTTGAATGAGGGTAAAGGCTAAATACGAAACGCTTAAGTGCTGTGGTTGTCGTCAATCTCATCGCAGATTAGGCTACAATTTATGAATGTTCGCACTGATAGAAAAAGAAGGAATTTTACAGGTTAGAAAAAGACACGTCGAGGATGTCTTTGTCATCGCTGTTGTCTAACATTATCTCCACAGGACCGCTGGTACTTATTGAGAGACTACGAAGGTTACTTGGTTAAGCATACATTGCTGAATCCCCGATTGCACCTATAACCGCCATTAGAAGTTCGTAATAAAAAAAAAAATCCGTGGACACCTCAGCACTTATGAGTTGTGAATGAGAAAGCATGAATGTCGTTCGTCTGCTCCTCTTCATCGCGCGCGGACGCCCGCCTTCCTTTTCGTATTGTGTGTATGTGTGTGTGTGTGTGGGGGGGGGGGGGGGGGGGGGGAGTTCCGACGCACTAGACGCCTCTCTCCGGCCAACACCTCCTAGACAGCTTTCAAGCCTGTGCGTCACGTGACATGAAGTCGCGTCCCGGAGGCCTGCACGGGCGCTGATTGGATTCGAGTGACGCGTCAGCCTTCGCGTGGGACTATGACAGGAAACGAGTCCCACGCGAACGCTGACGCAGCACTCGTATGCAATTAGCGCCCGTGCAGGCCTCCGGGACGTGGCGTCATGTCACGTGACGCACAGGCTTTGAAAGCTTTCTAGGAGGCGTTGCGCCGGCCCGCACCGCCGTACCGCCGCACGAAAGCCAATGGGCCCTCGTTCGTTGATGACGCGCGCCAGCCAATGGGAGCCTGTGCCTCAGATTTCGGTCACAGACGACATAGAGACAAGGGAAGGAGCTGTCTGGCACGGCTTCAAAGCTGATGACGTAGGTTCGCTCCATGGGACAGCTAATGCTTTCGCACTAATAACTTTTCTTGCGTCGCTTCACCCCTGCACGTACGACGACGCTGGCGTTTGTTGTTCCAGGCTTGAGCTTGTTCCTCAGTTTGAATTTTACTATTTTTAAGCTATAGTTAAGATGACTAAGCGTCCTATCCACTTCGGCATCTGAGTAGAGTAGCACCAGCATCGACATGGAAAATGCGGCCAACTTGGCAAACGGGTTTTCGCCCCAGGTGTCCTTATAGGAATGAACTTCACACCAGAATGACGGTGTTGACGATAATTGTTCCCAGTTAATGAGCGCGATTTTGCTCCACTGGCTTTGATTTTTTCTATCTCTTCAGGTGGCACTACCATTGCTTCCAGCAGAGGAATCAATGGCTCCTTCAGAACGGCCAAAATGTTGTGGACCGATAAAAGACTCCGTTGCAAAGCTGTTAACATAATGAGAGCTTAAAGTGATGCCCTTTAAGTGTGCAATTTGTAATAATTATGCGGGTTAATTTGTTCAATTCGTTTATTTGTTTAGAGGGCCCAGGTTGTGCATTGTTGACATTGCTTGTTCGAACAGCAGTGCCTGCTAAATTGGGGAACGCGACAGAACAGCACACGACAAAACAGCACGCGACAAAACAGCACGGTCAAAACAGCACGCGTCAAAACAGCACAGCGTCAAAACAGCACGGCGACAAAACAGCAGGCGTCAAAATAGCACGCGACAAAACAGCACAGCGTCAAAAAGGCAAAGCGACAGAAGAGCACATGCCAAAACAGCACGGCGTCAAGACAGCACAGCGACAAAACAGCACGTATGTAGCAACTTCGAGCGCATGCTTCACCTCCCTCTGCGCGAATATTTTCGAACCTCCTTAACCCTTTCGTTTATTGTCGCTAGGTTATAAAGGAATTTATTGCCTATTTCATTGCTAAGTCAGTGTCCCGACTGGTGCTGCTGTGTGATTGCTAAAAACAAACGAAGTTAGCAGTAGTTACTACAACTTAACTGCGCTGATCTTTGAAGAGATTGGGTAGTTAGAGGTGATATCTTCGCCTCGATGTCGGCCGCGTTGTCAGGTCTTTTTTTTTTTTTTTAGACCCAGCGAAGGAGAAAAAGTTATTGGGAAAAAGAAATCCATAAGTTCAAGTTATGAACCGTCCGGTTTTCGGCGGTCCGGTAAGATACTTGTCGTTTCGTAATTACCACCTAAATGTCAAACGTCCCCCCCAAAACGCGGGAGATGCTTTGACTACAGATGCATTGATAGAACCGGGAAGATGAGGCAACTTAATGTCGAGCGAGTTCATGATGTACCATGAGCACGGATTCTGTGGGGTTCATTCGTCGTGAACAAAATTTCCGGAAACACGCAGCTGCAGCTTGCAGGCGAGAAGTTGTTTTGAGTTGAATTCACAGATTATTGCCGACGAAGGCCTCGGTCGAGTGGAAACCAGGGAAGCAGAAACATGCCATAGCCTTAATGCTGTTGCCGCACAGCATGGGCTAACGCTAAGCACACCGTTGACACACACACTTCTTTTTTTTTTCTTTTAACAACTAACAACAACATGTTGCCGTGCGATTGATTCATTTATTGTAGACGACATCACCAGCAAACTTGCGCGTCAACGTTAGCTGAACTGCTCGAGAAATAGCCATAATACGCACCAGCGGGGGCTTCGGTACTGCCCACGGAGCCTTCATGTGCGCATCGAGTATACTCCCCACTCCCAACTTGCTCCCATGAGAACGGATTCGACATATTGGCCGTCGACGAGTTGACCTTGGAGGAATTGGCCTAGACTCTCCATTCTTTTACAGTGCCTACTTTGAGACGTGAATTTTTTTTAACTCCATACGCTCTATTTAGGGTTCAGCGTTTTCGTCTTAAACTGATAAAACCGGTAAAAGTACGACGATATATTTTTTTGCAAATTCGGTTTTAACTGAAAAAGGTCAGTATTTTCGAGGGCGTTTGGAGGGGTGGGTGGAGAAATGTGCCTCATTACTGAACGTATGACCACTTCCTTTCGCAGTTTTCAGCTTGTGTCCAAGATCGGTTTAACTTTCTACAAAAGTTAAACCGACGCAATGGTCTTCAGGACGAAATCTGGGTTTTTCACCTGATAGGGATTTGTGTGCCGCATTCTTTCTTCAAAGAAGAGAGTTTAATCGTGGACTGTACAATGAAATTAAAGGGCATCCGTAAATGCCGCACATTTTTTAACACCCCTAGCTTCCGTTTACTAGAGGAGGGCATAAATACGCTAGCATTATTGTCGTTTCTTGATCTGCGCGAATTAACTACCTCTCGCAGTCGTGAAAATGGGGGAACAACGCACTGAGTACAATGCTTGGAAATTTTTTGGATTTTTGATATTTGTCTCTCCGACCGAAGTGTTAGTAAAGCTCGTGTTGGTCCTGCGTACAAATACGAGCTCATGACGATGATGTCAGATCACGATAGGGCCCCATAGCGTCTTGCAGAACAGGTCGCGTCGGCTGCCACAGACATCAACAAATAAGAAATCCAGTACCTGGTTTACTTACTATTCATCTTAAACAAACGCCTTTAAATATTGCATTTTCGTCAGTATACCGGTTTTCGTCAATAAACCGAAAAGAACTGAAAAGTTTATGCGTCTACAAATATTCTCAGCAATCAACCGAAAACTTCTGCTTGTAATAAAAACCGAAAAATGTACGCCCAGTTTCAAAATAATAAAAACCGAATACGCCAAACCCTAGCTGTATTGTCAATGTTCTATTTTGACGCTGTGCTGTTCTGACGCTGTGCTGTTTTACCGCCGTGCTGTTTTGGCAGGTGCTCTTTTGTCGCTTTGCCGTTTTGACGCTGTGCTGTTTTGTCGCGTGCTGTTTTGACCGTGCTGTTTTGTCGCGTGCTGTTTTGTCGTGTGCTGTTCTGTCATGGTGCCGCTAAATTGTCAATTTCTTCTGCTTGCGTTTTTTATGTGTCATCACAACGATGGATACTCTCCCTGTAATAGCCCTCAAGAGAGGGCTGACAGTATTTTCAAATAAATAAATAAATGTCTTCTCGAAAACTTCGAAGCTGTCGGGACGTCCTTGTTTGATTTGATTTAATAGTGTACTTATAAATGTTATGGACCTTTCTAGCATCACAGCTTGATCAGCGACAGTCAACCCGTCGGACTTCTTGTTTTCAACGTATACGTCTCAAACAGGTAGTCCAGATATGACTTGGGGTCCAAGTGGTTCTCAAGTCTGGACGTCAGAGGGTACATCTGCTCTGTCGGAATTACAACTTTTTGAAACAATGTTGAAAGCCAAGTCATGCGGTCTTTCAGCAGGTTTGTTTGGTTCACATCTTTCGTCTCGAAAGCCACAGATGCTCTGCCTTCCATAGAAAGCTATCGGCGTTCTAA